TCTTTCCTCACTAAGACAACTAGTAAGCCACCATCCAATCCTTGTTTGACTTTCTAGCTGTCATAGATCTCTCTCATCTCTTGCTATTTTCAGAACACCAAAAAGTGAACACTCTTGCTAGTCATCTCTGAGCCTCCAATTCATCGAATGAAAGATTACCAAGGGCAAAAAATTGAGATATTATCATCTCCTCCCTTCTCCTTTCCCTACCTTAACTTTAGGAAACTCAAAACCATTTGAATAGTTTTTTAGTTCCCTACCAATACCTTTGATGAATAGATTCAAGGGAGACTTTGATTGAATCCATTCAATGGGACTTTCGATAGTTATTATAACATTTTTCCACATCAACTTTCCATCACCAATATTTTCAATAATTAGGATGAGGATATTTATTGCTATGGATATCGAGAGGTCACTACCAAGCCTATACCATATAAAAAGTTTAGGATCATGGATGTTCAAACCATTATTTATCTATGTATTCAAATTTTAATTGCAAAGGTAACTAATTTGACATTAATATATATATACAATATAGAAATATTTTAAAATTGAAATATGAAATTTATTTTGAGATTGAGATAGATTTTAGCGTAATATTTTAATATTAGAGATTTCCATGAATAATATCTACCTTAATATTAGAGATTAGATGAATAATATCTACAAGTTTCGTATAAATTTCCACCCATACCATTGCATCCCCCTAAATACCCATAGCCAGCAATGCTCAATTGGTGTTTGGCCTTAAGACACAGCCATGGCACTAGCGGTTTCGCCCTGGTTCGAGCATTGGTAGTGACCTCTCGTTATCCATAGCCTTAAATATTCTCATCCCAATTTTAAAATAAAAAAACTTAGGCTTTTTACCAAGAATTGAAATATCATACTGTATCAACAGTTCGACCAGAAAAATCTTTGATTGGAGGTTAAAACGGTAGGCGGTTTGAATCGGTTGAATCCGATTAAACACAATTTTAGCACAAAATACCCTAACACTGACTTTTCCGCTACGATCTCCGCTACGATATTTCAATCCTTTTTTACACATTTTGTGCTAAGTAGGATTATTGCATACCGGTGCTATTACTCAACGGTTAATTGTTACAATGGATAATCTTGTAAACTTAAAACTAAAATCATTGTTGTCAGAACAGAATCGCATATAAAAACGAGAAAGTATTTTATTTATTGGTTGACAGATTAGCTGTTATAAAATCTACAAACTGGTGTAAAATAATATAATATTAGGGATATTAGCATTTTATGCCCCTCTATAATTGTAAATTAACATACTCCTATTTAATTTTTTTTACAAACATACCCTACGATTATGAACATGTAACAATTGTGTCCTATAAAAATTCCGTTAGATATCCATTAAATGGGATGAAGAATTACTAATTTACCCCTATTTATTTTATAATATATTTTCCATATGAAAACAAGAAATTTATTGTATTTTCTTCTTATTTTGCTTCCCCTCGTGATGTAGAACTGTAGAAGACAACAACTCCCACCGAACACTACCACCATCAATTCCCCAAAAACTTTGTCGATCCCCAATCTCCTAAAATCAATCTAAAGCCTAAACCAACAACCTAAATGCCCAAATAAACTTCAGCTTTTCGGAAAATCAAACCTAACGAAATCCTTAAATAACTCAGCTAGTTTAAACCTCAAACCTCAATTCGGATATGAAACAATGGGAAAGACATGACGCAAAATCCACGATCAAAAATTTGGTATGGCACATCAAAATCTCCCTACAGTCCTCCATTGTCTCAACTCAAACTGGCCATCAAATCTCGCGTAGCCATCACCATAGAGAGGCTCTTCCCAAACTGCAATGCAGGAGGAGCAGAACTCCTTAAACGATCACGAGGCTCCATAACGATCGTAGGTTGAGATTCTGCAAATTGCAAAGAAGAGCGGCGAAGGTTTTGGATTTGGATATGACCATAGACACATTGTGGGGGAAAAAGGAATATGTCAATGACGACCAAGATTGAGAGTGGTTTCAATTTTTACGGCAAGGGTAATTGGTTGGAATATGGACGGGAAGGGCAAGGGGCAGAGAAGTAAACACTCAAGACTTGTGTTTCTATTATTAAATCAAGAGATTTATAGTATATTGTAACAGAGTGGTGCAAGGAAAGATGAGGAAACAAAAAGAGTGGAATAAGAAGCAGAGAGTGGAGAACAACGTTCCACTACTAACAACTAACAACAAGGAGAAACTTAAGGAGCAAGATCACATCTTCACGCCCCCGCAAGCTGAGGCTCAAAGAGTCGAAACTTGGAACAGAATTTGTTGAAGGACTGTCGGGATAGCAATTTTGTGAGCACATCAGCAAGCTGATCAGGAGCCAGTAAGTAGTGGACGCGGAGCTGGCCTTTGCTAACTTGATCACGAACAAAGTGAAACTCTATTTCCATATGCTTTGACCGATTGTGAAACATGGTATTATGAGCAAGAAAGGTCACACGAAGATTGTAACACCACATAGTTGGAGCAGTAGGAATCGATTTCTCCAATTCATGGAGCAAAGACCATAACCAGAGAACCTCAGAAGCAAGTGTGGCGAGTGCACGATATTCGCACTCTGTGGAGTAGCGGGCTACTGATTGTTTTTGCGAGTGGATCAGGACACCAAATTTGAACCACAGAAAATCACAAACCCCGTGATGGACTTGCAGTCCTTAGGACATGAAGCCCAAGAAGCATCTGAATAACCAGGTACATGGAGTGAGGGAGATATGGTAAAAAATCAGACCACGTTCAAGAGGGCCTTTGAGGTAGCAGAGAATTCGCTTCACAACTGCCCAATGGTTTTTGGTGGGATAATGGTGAAACTGAGATACATGGTTGACAGCGAAGAAAATGTCTAGACGAGTGAAGCTGGGATATTGAAATCCACCAATGAGATTGTGATACATTGCTGGGTTCAAGAATGTGGGGAGGAATCCATGGCTGATTGCTGGATGATGTCACCGGTTGAGGGAGTGGAGATGGCATTGGCGTTGGACATGTGAGCATGCTTAAGCAAGTCCAGAATGAACTTGCGCTGACTATGGATAATGCCAGTGGAGGAAGGTGAACAACTGTTGAATGAGATTAGTATTAGTACTCGTGATGACTATGTCATCAACATAGACCAGCATATATAGTCGAGTGGAACCTATCTTGTAGATGAACAGAGATGGATCAGTGCGGGAAACAGAGAAGGCGAAACGAGTGAGAGCAGCAGCAAGGCAATGGAACCAAGTGCAAGGAGCCTGTTAAAGACCGTATATAGACTTATGAAGTCGACAAACATGATCTAGTTTGTCAGGATCAACGAAACCAGGAAGCTACTGCATATAAATTGGTTCCTACAACTCACCATGGAGAAAAGCATTAGCAATATCAATCTGATGTAGTGGCCAACCCTAGGTCACTGCAAGACCAAGAATGAGACAAAGCGTAGCTAGTTTGAGAACCGGACTGTATGTATGATGAGAATCCATACCCGGGATTTGTTCATAACCACAAGCAACTAGGCAAGCTCGATGTCGATCCAGCGTACCATATGGATGAAGCTTACTGAGATAGACTCACTTGTTGGAGAGGACATTGCATTTGGGAGGCCGGGGAACCAAGTTTCATGTGTGATTGCAAAACTGAGCAGTAACCTCATCGGACATGGCTGAGCGCTAGTGGGGAAGTTTGAGAGCTTGTGTCACAACAGTGGGGTGTCATCAATAAGGAGATGGAAGAGAAAGGTTGTGGGTTTGAGGTAACTAGTTTTGATGTGGGTGACCATAGGATGGGCGGAGCTGGTGGGATTGGTGACGGCGAGCGGTCGAGGGGAAGTGTTTAAGGGAGGGCGATTGAGGATCGTCCGACGAGGAGGCAGGGGGTGGGAGAATGGGTGGAGGAAGTATCCGAGGTAGGGGATGAATTTTTAGGTGTTGGGTTGGGCCGAGATGGAGAAACAGGTTGGTTGTGTGGTAGGTTGGGTAGAAATAGGGGAGGAGGAGTGGGAGGTGTGGGGAGAGGAGGAAGTGGTTTGGGTTGATGAACTAGAGAGGTTGGTGGGTATGGGCTGAGGGGAAGTAGTGGGCGAAAGAGAGGGAATGGGTTCGGAAGGTAAGGAAGGGGTTGGCAAAAGCAGTATGGGAGAAGAAGTAACCGAAGGAGAGGAGGGCTGAGTGATGTTTAACTCGGCAAAGGGAAAACGAGTTTCATCAAACAAAACATGACGGCTAACATAGATTCGGCCAGTGGGAATGTGAAGGCAATGGTAACCCTTGTGAAGTTTGATGTAGCCAAGGAAAACACAGGGAACATAACGAGGAGCTAATTTGTTTGGGGCAAGAGTGCGAAGCCATGAATAACAGCGACAACAAAAAACACGGAGATTAGAGATATCAAGTGAACGTTGAAAGATAAAATGAAAGAGAGAATCATGGTTAAGAAGCGGAGTAGGTGTGCGATTAATGAGATAGCAAGCGGTATCAAACGCAAGAGGCTAGTATTTTGGGGGAACATTGGAGTGATGAAGGAGAGCAAGTCCATTATTGACGATATGTCGATGTTTACATTCAAAACACCCATTTTGTTCAGGAGTATAGGGACACAAAGATCGATGAGAAACACCATTTTGAGAGAGATAAGTAGACAAAGCTTGATATTCAACCCCCCCCCCCCCCCCCAATCAGATTGAAAAGTTTTGATGGGAAGACCAAAAAATTTCTCAACCAATTGCCTAAATTGAAGAAAGACACAAGCAATTGTGATTTATAACGAATGAAATAAATCCATGAGAAATTTCTATAATGATCATAGAATAAAATGTAATAGGATTGCTCATCATAAGAAAAAGTAGGTGCGGGGCCCCATACATCAATACAAACAAGTTCAAAAGGAGTAGTCGCATGAAAGGTGGAAGAAGAAAAGTGAAGTTTGTGAATCTCACTAACAGGCAGCACAACCATGACACAAAGGAGTGGAGAGAACAAATTTTATTTGATTCTGATGAAGAGCCTGCTTGAGCGCCCTTTCATGAGCGTGCCTAAGACGACGATGCCAAATGTCAAAGGAAGCCACACACGTGTTGGGGGAGAGATGGCGAGAGATATGAAATGGAAACGAGTAAAGGCCATCCACCGCATAGCCTCGATAAAGTTCCTCCCTGTGCGTCGGTCCTTGATGTGAAAAAGAGAGTAAAAAAATTCAATGGAGATAGGATTAGAACGAGTGAGAGATCTTATGGATTAGAGATTGTAAGGAGCATGTCGCACATGAAGAATGTTATCCAAGAAAATGGAAGTATTGGATTTAGAAGTGATGAATGAACCATAACGCGAGAATGCAAGAGAGTTACCATTGCCAAAAGTGACATGATCAGTCCCATTATACTTAGAATGATGGGCGAGGTTGTCTAAATCCGAGGTGAGGTGATGGTTGGTGCCATAATCGAGTAGCTGTTATTGTTGGTTGAAAGCTTGGGCAGGTGATGAAGAAAACATGGTGTGTGGGACAGCAGGGGAGGGAAGTGAGGCGTAGGAAGGAATAGGGGCAGCAGACTGGGCTGGATGGGTCGAGTTGTTGTGTGTGTTCATAGCTGGGCTTGGAAAATTTGGTATACTGTGGCCGCGGCGTCGACATCCACAGTTATGACACACCACCACTAGACCAATGGGTCGGGGCCCAAAAACGCTACTTGTCGGGCTCGACCTGCCAAAAAAGGAGAAAAGGTTGTGTTAGGGTAATAACTGCAGTGGGAGGATCCTCGTCCTCGACCTCGGCCTCCTCTTCCGCAATAGTCACCGGTGATGGAGAAGAAGGCGGTCGGCGCCGGAGAATCCGAATGGGAGGAATAGCGCTGGAACTGGAGTTCTTCACCGAGGAAAAGGGAGTGAAGATCTCCAAAGCTAATCAGTGCCATACGCGCCTCGATATGGCACACAAACGGACGATAATCTTCACCCAAGCCATCGAGAATCCAATCGGTAAGATCGTCGTTGGAGACGGGAGAGCCCAACATCGCCAATTGATCAGCCTTGGCTTTGGCAGTCTGAAGATAATCATGGATTGTGGCGTCACCGCGATGGATGTTTTGAAGAGTCTTGGTGAGCTGCCAAATCTGAATTTTGGAGCCGCATGTGTAGATGGTAGCCAACGCCGACCACGCATCAAATGTCGTAGCCACTAGCCAACGCCGACCACCTCTCAATTTGTCTCCTATGGAGATGTCTAATACTTGCATCAAATATTTCATTACTTCATCAACCAATTATATATAGAAAGTTCACATTTTTTTTATTGTGACTTAGCTTGATACAATTAATAGTTTATAATTTGTATCTTACTATCTAGTGGGAATTGCACAACATACACATCAATAGTAAAAGTCCAAAAATACAATGACACAATCCTTCCTTTAAAGATGATCACTATGACTATTTTCCATGTAAAGATAGGGTGTGTGTTATTCGGTGACTTGCAACACACACATCCCCACCCAATAAGTGCGAGTAGGAGGTCTTCAATTGACAATCCATTAACATTTATCATCCATCCATTGCGACTTTTGTTATTTACGAGTAGATCAGTATCAAACCATGATTACTCACCCACATGCGCGCTCCTCTCCAAAATCTTCATCCAAACACTCCGAAAAAAAGTGTGGACCCAAATATCAAATCATGTTTCTCCGTAAGTAACCCAACATCGGCCCATAATGCATAACAGCCCATCCTCTGATTATATTTCATCTTATTTCCCCTCAAGCCCAAAGCTAAAGAAATCCTCCACGCCCTCCCACTTCCTGTGTCTTACTTTCCTTTCCGCTAGCGTGCAGGCAATGAGTCGAACTCCCGGCAAATTCAGAACTCTCCTCTCCAAAGCCCGCAGCTACATCGGCCTCGCCACCGCCTCAACAGCCGCCGCTTCCGCTTCTCTCTCCACCTCAGTCGCCGGCGCATCCATGGAGGAGCTCAGGACCCGCGTCTGTATCATCGGGAGCGGCCCCGCTGCCCATACCGCCGCCATCTACGCCGCCAGAGCCGAGCTCAAGCCCATACTCTTCGAGGGCTGGATGGCCAACGACATCGCCCCCGGCGGCCAGCTCACAACCACCACCGACGTCGAGAACTTCCCCGGATTCCCCGAAGGGATCATGGGCGGAGAGCTCATGGACCGCTGCCGTAGCCAGTCCCTCCGATTTGGAACCCAAGTCTTCACCGAGACAGTAAACAAGGTCGATTTCTCTTCCACTCCTTTCAAGATCGCCACCGATTCGAAGACCGTCGTCGCTGATACCGTCGTGGTCGCCACTGGGGCGGTAGCCAAACGCCTCCATTTCTCCGGGTCGGACACTTTCTGGAACCGGGGGATCTCCGCGTGCGCGGTGTGCGACGGCGCCGCGCCCATTTTCAGGAACAAGCCGCTCGCGGTGATCGGAGGTGGGGATTCGGCGATGGAAGAGGCGAATTTCTTGACCAAGTACGGGAGCAAAGTTTACATCATTCACAGGAGGGATACTTTCAGGGCATCCAAGATTATGCAGAACAGGGCTTTGACAAACCCTAAGATTGAAGTGCTGTGGAATTCGGTGGCGGAGGAGGCTTATGGAGAAAGGTCGCTTACTGGGTTGAAGGTGAAGAACATGGTGACCGATGAAGTCTCTGATTTGAAAGTTTCTGGGTTGTTCTTCGCCATTGGGCATGAACCAGCTACCAAGTTCTTGGATGGGCAGCTGGAGCTCGACTCCGATAGCTACGTTTTGACCAAGCCCGGAACTACGCAGACTAGCGTTCGTGGTGTATTTGCTGCTGGTGATGTTCAGGACAAGAAGTATAGGCAGGCTATAACAGCAGCTGGCACTGGTTCGTTTTCTTGCTCTGTATCTTTTTATTTGCAGTTCTAGCTCTTAACAATGATCCTCATACAAGTTGTCTTAAATTGTCTAAATTTCTACTGCATACTGCCTGCTGCTAATGTTTGATCTTTGCTAAAGCTTCACAAATTTTTTTCCTCCATTTATGACGTTTCCCTTTTACAATTCATTTCCCCCCTGTCGTTCCTTCGGCTTCATGTTCTAGAGGATGAGAAATAAACTAGGTCTGCTATAGGTAGCTGACAATTCACTGTAGTTTCTAATTCTTCACGGTATAAATAATTAAATATGCTCTCTTTCATATCGAGGCACTGATCTATTGTTTTGACCAAGTAGACAATTCAAAGAAAGATAGCAAGTCTAATTCAAAGCATCTAACAAATCAGAGTTTGTTGCACATCTTCAGGGTAGCAGATTAGTTCAGTCTCTATTTCCTTCTAATATTCGTGGTATTGTTAAGCATTTTGGAGTAACTTAATGATGGCGAGAGGACTGGAAACTGTTGCAAATGAGTAAACTTGTCTGCAATTGTACACATACTGCATTCCAACTTCCAAGCATCTAGTTAAGGTCGTTTACAACAATGGTTTGTAATCAATGACTCATCTGCATACACTTTGAATTAGACTTCTCTGGTTGCAAGGTGTATATGTTTGTTACTATGCTGCTCTTGGACTGTTCCTAGGATTTTAAATGCAGCTTGGCTGAAAGGCGTCCATGATTTTAGTTGTACCTTCTAGAAAATGTAGCCTGCCTTATTTCTTATATGAAGGGTTAACTAGCAGATAATACGGTTATTTGCATGTGAAAGAACAATTGCCTCACCCATGTTTCGTTTCTTTCTTAAAACAAATACCAGAACTTAATTGGGAGTACTCCATGTTTCTGCCTTTGCAGGGTGCATGGCAGCACTGGAAGCAGAGCATTACTTGCAAGAGATCGGCACCCAAGAGGATAAGAGCGAGCCATCCAAGATGTAAAAGGTTTGCTTTTACTGAAGAAAGCAGGATGTATTCATTAATTGTGATTGCTTAAGTGGAGAACTATAAGCGAGATTGTGACAGATTGGTCCTATTGTTATGCCTTTGATGATGATTAGCCTGAGTGAAACGGGTTGTTTCTACATTAAGGCGCATGGCCTTGAGTGTCAGATGATGCTCTCAATTCAGACATTGCAAAAGTTTATTAGTTCGTAATAGATCGATTGGACATTTTATTGTGATGAGTGATTACGGTGTTCTATGCATCAAGATTTGTGTTAAGTTTTCAGTTCATGTGAGCAAGATGGAGGGGCTTTTTTTTTTTTTTACTTAGGCAGAAATTCAAATACATAGACATAAAGAGGACAGTAATCATCCACGGCAGTTGGTCAATAATCGAACTTACGATAAGAGTGCCTTTTATTTTTAGTTAGGCATAAATTTAAATACATAGACATAAAGAGGAGAGTAATCATCCACGGTAGTCGGTCAATAATCGAACTTACCATAAGAGTGCTTTTTTTGCTTTATGATGGATAGCCTGGTAGAATGCGGAGGCGTAAAAGTACCCAAACAAAAAGAAGCGTGTAGCAAAAACAATTTTGTCCACAAGTGCTCCAAGTTGTTCGCCACATCCCTAACCAGAACCAGCCTCACCAGCATTGATTGAGACATCACCACAAAGTGTTGGGAGCAGCATTGCAATGACTCCAGCAAAATCTGCGGATAGCATCAGCTAGAAAGATCGAAGAAGAAATTGGCCACAAATGGCTCGGGCTCGCTCCATAGCAAAATCAGCGGATAGCATCAGCTAGAAAGATTGAAGAAGTAATTGGCCACAAATGGCTCGCTCCATATATGGAAGGTGACAATTTCAAATTGGAACAAGCATGGAAAGAAAAGGACTCAAATCTACAGGCTCCGTGAGGAATTGTAAGTATATAAAGGTGTGAGAATTAGAGTAGAAGGCAGACTTTTCATAGCAATCGAATCGAAGGGCTAAAGTGTGTTGGCAAGGAGTTTGAGTGAAAACTCAGCACACAACTCGGGGAGAACTCTGGGTTTAGGTTTTTGAAACTACAGAAGTTCTATAACGTAAAAATTTCATGGCTTGGTTCATTCTCTTTTTATTTCTTAGCTGTGATTATTTGGCTGTGGAAGTTCTTGGTATGCACTGTTTTTTTGGGTTCTAACTGCAAGAACAAAGTGTTTGTTCGAAAAAGAAGAAGGGCTGGTGAAAGATAATTAAAACCCTGAGTTTTGGCTAAGCTGTGGATAGTAGTGATAGCAATGGGGAGTTTTTTCCAAACCCAAACCCATGGGTATTTCCAAAAAAAAAAAAATAATATCCATTGGGTTTGGAAAACTCAAACCCAACCAAACCCAACCCAACCCAACCCACTTATCCGTAGGTTGATGGATACCCATGGGTTCTATGGAAAAAAATTCATAACAACAATTTCCTATAAAATTAAAATTCTAACACCCATTTGTCCATACAAATTATCCATACAAAAAACACTAATATAGTATATACAAGCAAACCACAAATTATCCATACAAATTGTTCAATATTAAAGATAAACATCCGCAATACACGATTAATAGAACGCTTCTTCCTCGAGAACTTGAAAACTGTGATCTTAGCTTCACTCTCCACTCCATCATATCAACTTCATTCTACACAATTAGTAAGAACAACAAATTAGTTGGGGTTGGGTACAGGTTTGGATTGGAACGGGTTGGATATGGCTAAACCCGAACCCAACCCGCAAAATAGTAGAACAGGTTTAAACCCAAATCCAGCCCGTAATCCGTCAATGTGAGTTTTATTCGCTTTGACCGAGTTGGGTCGGGTCGGGTATCCATGGATAGGGTTATCTTGCCATCCCTAGTTGTGGAAGTCTTAGACGTTGAAAAGTTGTTGGGCTTTTCTTGTTTTCAATCGGTTGGACCTAAACACTTAAACTTTGGGCTTAAGTAAGACATAAGCCCACTGATACTTCTCATTCGACAAACACATGTGAGCACAGGAAGGTATCCTCTTTTCGATCCAAACTTCATCTTATTGAATCCTCTCACTTGTTCTTGCCAGAAGGTTTTGGCTGGGTTTAATTGCAGGTATTGAGTCGATCTGAGATCGCATAAATCAAAGAGAAATCAAGGAATTTGTTTCGCGCTTGACGCTCTACAGTTGGTATCATAGTCTGGTTTTGTCGAAGAAGATCTTACAATCTCTGGAGTTGAAGAAATGGCGTTGGGGTTTGGAAGCCGTGTTGTGTTGTACCTCGCTGATGGGTTCTCTCAAATCACCCACCAAGGTTTGAGGGAGTCGATTACAGTTACCGGAAGAACAACATATAACTCTTTATTGGATCAACTTACCTAAAGATTTGGGATAGAGTTCTCGATGGCCCTCTAGAACCATTTTTTCAATTTCATAAACCAAATTTAATATGAAAAGTTAATTTGTAATTAATGATTCACAACGTAGGAAGACCATTCTTAAAATTTATTTCCTGAAAAACAAAACCTATGCTTGACTTAAATTAAACTTTGTTACAACTTACAACATTGTATATATAAATAGCAAATCACTGAGACAATTGAATCAAAATCTAAAATGATTTCGGGTTAGGAATCTTATATCTTAAATATTAGGACTTATATCTCTTCACAATAATATAAAATCTAAAATTGACTTAACCTACGATCTTCACATAACCTACGTTCTCCCAACTATTTCATGACATGTAACAAGAGTTCAGGGTTTAAGGTTAGTGTATAGGGTTATGGTTTAGAGTTAGGACGATTCGGAAGTATGTTCTTCACAATAACCAAATATAAAATTTACTTAACCTACATTCTTCACATAACATACGTTATACCAATAATTTCATAACATATAACAATAGCTCAAGGTTTCAAGTTAGTGTATAGGGTATAGGGTCATCGTTTAGAGTTAAGTGTTAGGGTTATAGTAAAGGGTTAAGGTTAGTTTCAGGGTTAATATTGTGCTTTAGGGTTATGGATGGTTAACGGTTAAGGTTAGTTTTAGGTATTACGGTTGATCGATTCATTCTGTGTAGGTCATAGTCAGTAGTTTGCACGTATCAATAACTACACCATTCTAGGCCAAGTTTAACCTATAACGGCGTTGTCATATAGTGACAATCAAGGTCGTATTCATTCGGGTCCCCGTACCCTAGCCTACTTCCCACATTGTTGTTATCTAGACGATCGGTTTAAGGGATTGTGTTGGAGGATTCAAGTGAAATAACTAGCAGAGAGAAAAAAAACAAGGATAAAAGAAGGTACATCGGGGAACTAACCCTCATCCTAGTCTAGGTCTATCATGCAAATAACTAAACATGTTGGGTTAAGGGAATGTGGTGAGTGAGCTCTTTTTCGTGGGCGTTCGTTATTATCCACACGCCTCCGATTATGCCCTACCTACCCCATTTTCACCTCGGTATAGGCTCACGTATCTGGGGCTTTAAGAACTTAGATCATTTCAATGGCTACTACCCACCGTCCACACCGAGGTTTCATCACGGGTTCCATCTAAAATGGCTTTCTTGTGGCAGGGGTACGGTCTCCTCGTCCACCACAAGACCCTATTTATTCATCTAACCCTCATCTTCCAAATGGCACATATCCGTCTAACCCGTAAACTCCATACCCAGCGTATAAGCTCAAGTAGGCTAGTAGACAAGATTAGGGTGACTTACCCAAGAACATTTACAGTAGATGAAGCATTAAAATCAACTAGACAAACACATTCCTTCAAAACCCTAACATATTCATTCATTACATAATAGCCCTAAAACTAGGGTTTGGGGTTTAGAACCCCTAGTACCTTAAGATACTACTCCATAAAGGAGGGAAGAAGATACATAGAATAATTTAGGGAAGGCTTGATGTAGAAGAAGATGACTCCTCTCCTCTAGCTTCTCCTCCTTCTCCTTCCTTTAGCTTCTCTCTCTCTAAACCAGAAATTTCTATCTCAAAATTAGCTCACCTAAAATGGGGGAGGAGGTCCTCTATTAATATACATCAGGGGGACAAACCAGTTCGCGGCCTAGCAGGGGGAGTTCGCGCCCATTTGGCATCACCGTTATGGTCTTCGTCAGCTGGGAGTTCGCGGGCTACCTTAACGGTCGCGATCCGTGAGTCGCGGCTGTGAACTTCCTTGCGGTCAGTGAAGAGGTTGACCGGGATCCGGCCATTGAAAGTTTCTGATCCTTCTTGGGTGGATTCCTCACAAAGTCCGCGCCCAAGTGCTCCAAGTTCGCGACCGCGCACTATGGTACTCAGGCCGCGATCTTTTCTCCTTCTCCGTATTCTAATGTCTCGACCGAGATCTTCTAACTCCAGGCTGTGATCTTTAGATTCCTGCCATTTTGAACCAATTGTGCCCTTTTTTGTACCTAATTCACATATATCGTATAAAGCACGGTAAAATAATGACATAATAAAATAAGAATGAAATAGGGACGAAGTCGATGATATTTTTCTGATTATGCACATGAATTATCCCGAAACAAACCTAAATATGAAGGGAAAATAACACCAATTTGGGTGTTATCAAACTCCCCCACTCTTAGGCGTTTGCTTGTCCCCAAGCAAACCTACTCAAACCAATGCAACTTGATAGAAAAATCAACGGGGGTGCACTCTAGTTCTTCATTGCATAAAGAAGAGTAGGCAGAGACGAGTAAACATTAATATCATCTTAATGTGCAAGCACAAACTCCTTAGTGAGGACCACACCTACTACCTTGGGATGAACATTCAAGGTGTGCACGAAGGGACTTCTCAACAACAATTTAGCACAAGAATTCTTGAGGGTGATCTTTATTCTTTCTTTCAATTTAGGAGTTGTCTTTTATTGGTCTCCTTTTTCAACATTGACGCGCATTGCACCAAATTTGTTCAAACTCTTTTACAAGCGAGCATCTCTCCCTCATGGGCAAGAGCTGATGGATCATTGCCTTCCCTATCAAGGTCACATGTGGGGAGGTTGATGGGTGGATTCTTCTTCGCCTGAGCACCACTTCCCAGCTTGCACTCCATATTGGGTTGCCACACTTGTTGGGTACAAACAAGAGCTGAGATCTCTTGAATCGCTATAAAGTGCTTTGTACCTTGTCATAAGATTTCGTGAGGAGGAGAGGTGTTTGGGGGATGGTAAGTAGTGAAAGATGGTCGGGACACAATTAAGCTATCCGAACCCCTAACACATCTTCGAATGGAATTCTGAGCCAAGAAAAAAGCCCTTTGACGACTTAACTCAAACAGTAGCCTCTCATGTGAGAATCTCTCTTTCAAAATTGAACACAAATTTGTAAAATTTTTGATTAAAAAATGACGGAGAGTCCCGCACACATGTTCTTCCTAAAATAGCAAACATTATCAACTCATCAAAGAGGTAGAAGAGAGTAAAACCTCTCATACACCAGTACTCTAATCATGCAACTTTTCCCTAGCGAACACAACACATCAATCATCTATCAATTCAAAGCATATTGAGTAGAAATTTGCAAAAAACAAGGTGTTTTAGAACCCTCAAATTTGATTTTTTTGGGTATTGCGTTCTAGGTTCCAAAACAAAATCAATAAGCAATTAAACACCACAAATGTGTACAATCGCTAGCATACACTCCCATAAGCAATCATCAGCGTCTTACATTCATAATCAAGGGAGGATATTATTGATTCATGGCTCAATCAATCATGATAATCATTCAAGCATTTTCACACATCCCCCCTACCCCCCCCCCCCCCCCACACACACACACTTGAGCAACACATTGTCCTCAATGTGGGAGATTCAAAAGAGAAGATCATGAAGGTTACCATAGGTTGGGTTGTGGGTTGGTGAAGGTACACATTTCTAGGTCTTTGTCTTCCTGGTGGTTTTCACATTGATAAAGCACATAAGAAAGAGACGGAGACGA